ATTAATTAATGACATGGATGTCAGCTGTCATTCCTCCAGGACAGAAACTGAAACTGTATGGTTGGGAAAGTCAGCATGTGGGACTTGACAAGAAAACCCAATGAATTTAATGTAAGACTGCTTTAATTTCCCCAAACTGCTGCCTAACGGCCATTTTAATAGCCCGGGATGAGTGGTGAACGTTACAGGCAGAGACAGAGGCTGAAAATTTAAGACACATGTGAGAAGCGCCATCTTGTGGTAATTTTTATCAATTACCCCTGTAAATTACTGGCTAAAGGAAGAAAAATAGAAAAGACAGCAACAGCTTCATTTAATCATAAACATATAATATAGTAATACATATATTATAATAAATTTGGTCCCAGAGTTGCATTTCAGCAGATAAGAGGAAAAGCTGTCTGCTTTCTTTACAATTTTCCTAATTTATCCCCACCTCAACTCCTTTACCTGAAGTCCTGTCCTGATTTTCTCATTGCTGATTGGTTCCTGAGTTTCTTTGTTCCCTAACTGAATTCACCGCACGCATTATATAAATAAGGAGTGCATCCCTTCCTGTTCCTTTTCACTCCTAGGTGGGGCAGCAACTGAGGTGTGTTTATATCCTTGGTTTCTTTAGTTAATTAAACCTGTTTTTGAAGAAACACGTTAAAGTCTCACTTTGTTTTCTCTTTCAGTCTAGCAGTCCACGTGTGACTTTTTCTTAAGTTCAAGTTCAAATTTTATTCGCCACATGCAGTGGCAGGTTGCCCTGCAGTGGAATGAACCCGCCCCCGACCTTACATAAACAACACAGACATCACATGGGGATACAAGTCAGAGAACTGTTGCATTACAGAAAACCACTGAAATGTACACTACAATGGGAAAGTACAAGAGGAAAAAAAGAGACCTCCACTCATGCTGGGCTATAGGAGAACAGCATGAGAACAGGAAACAAAAAAACTCCTCTGCACAGAAAGCACATAAATGTCCACAGTACAACATTATGGAGCACGTGACCAGCAACAGGGTCGGGTAGGGGATGAGGAGTAATCCTAGGCAACACAGTAGCCATCCTGCCACTGCGCCGTCTCTCCAGCGCGGGCCCAGACCCGCCTCGTGTTCCCAGGAGGAAACAAGCATCGAAGGCGTTGGAAGGGGGGATGAGTGAGTGCTTATCAGTGTAAGTGTATGTGTGTGTGTGTCCATAGTTCAGCTGAGACAGTGTCCTTCACCCTGCCAGGCTAAGTAAACAGTCTTCCAGCCACCCAGGCCTTGCATAGAATGGGAAGAACAGTCTAAACACAGTCGTTATCAGGGTGTTTTTTGTTCAGCTCCAGCCTTGAGACCGCAGTGAGCTTCTTCAAGATGTGATCCAGTTTGCACTCAGAGGTCTTGTTCTGAGTATTCACGGCAGCCGTACGCTTCTCCAAGATCTTATCCATGCTGCACTCAATGAGCCCATTTTGAGAAATTCACGCCTCATCCCATCGTTTCAATCCCAGCCTTGTGGGGATTTGAACAGCCGATTCCGCTTTCTTAATTCTTTGATAAGTCAGTGTCAAAAACCAGCTCCGATCAGCAAGAACCCTGTTATCATGGTTCCGAATAGGTAGATATATTCAGCAGTCAGGCTCACCCGAGCCCAGACTTCTCGTTGAGAAAAGGGTATCAATTGCTTTCAGGGACCAGCTGATCAAATCCATAATTCCTCTTTTAGGTTTTAGAGAACAGACTGTGAGAGAGTGTTCCAGGGAAAAGTAATACAAAAAAACTCCCACGAGACTAGACAAGGACACAAGAGGCTAAGCAGGGAAGCTAAGGGAGAGGAGGAGAGAAGAAAAGTGCGACCGCCTTCGTCAAGAGCAAAAGAGAAGAGAGAGTTAAGCTATCTTTGGTCTAAAGTAGAATGAACTTTTTGATAACAATACTTAACTTTGAAATAACTTCCTGATTAACACTACTAGTTAGTCAAATTTGTCAAAAAGACAAATTAATATATACTGCGACACAATCACTGGTTAGCTTTAAGTTTACTGGCATAAGATAACTTTAGTAAATGTTAAGTGTTAGCTAAAGAACATCTGAAGTTATTTCCTTATTTATGTTTGAAGCCTAACAGCTACAGGTTCTAACTCATGTTTCAAATGCAATTTGTAATATATATTTTTGGGCATGTTATCCGACACTGTCCTATCAAACATTGGCTAAGGCTGGAAAGCTGGGAGAAAAGCATAAAGAAGACTTGTAGAAAATGGCCTCAGGGTGGATTTGGAAGCAAGCTTCCATATTGGCCTTATGGAATAAGGGTTGTTCTCTTTGCAACCCAGTGGGCTAAAGTGGTACCAGTGGAATGCATTTTTAATTACTTTGTTATTAGTTGGACATGGGGATACTTAGGCTTCCTCCTTTTTTAAATAAAAAGTTGTTACTTTGTTGCATATATATGCTTCCTGAGTTCTGCTTGAAAATATTTCTTAGGATATAGCTCAATGTCCACTTCAAGAACACCAGTTCAGCTGCGTTTCAATACAAATGACTAATATGGCAGCAACTCAGTGTATGAATGCAGACTTGGTAAAGACAACTTGCTAAAGTTCAAACCAGGCATCACAATGGGGAAGAAAGGTGTGTAGGAGGGGTTTTTTTGTTTGTTTGTTTTTGTTTTTAAGTGACTGTAAAAATAACTGAAGCCCTCATTACAACCAAGATATGCAGAAGAACATCTATGTACACAAAGCACTTGAAACAGATGGGCTACAGCAGTAGAAGACTACACTGGGTGCCACTAAGAACAAGAAAACTGAAGCTAACCCTTACCAAATTAGATACAATACAGTAGAAGATTGGGGGTGCCTTATCTGAGTCTGGATATCTGTTGACATTCAGATAGTAGCATCAGAATTTGGTATAAACACGATCAATCCCAGTGTGGTGGTGTGGGTAAAATGGGCACATCTTGAGCCCCATTCTACCAACTGAGCATTCTTTAAACTCCACAGCCTGAGTATTGTTGGTGACAATGTACATATTTATACATTAGTGCATCCATCTTCCTATTTACTGGTTCTGCTTCCAGCAGGATAACGCACCATATCACAAAGCTCAAGTCACTGAACATTGTACTCAAACTGCCTCCAGTCACCAGATCTAAATCCTATAGAGCAGCTTTCAGATGTGGTGCATTGAGAGATTTCCTGAGAAATGCCTAGAAATCTGCATCTGTGTGATACTGTCTTGTCAATATGGATCAAAAACTCTTTCCATTACCTTGTTGAATCTATGCCACAAAGAATTAAGGCAACTCTGAAAGCAAAAGGGGCTCCAGTGAATGCATATCCCTAGTTATAAGCTAAATGTGTGTGAGTTCAGATAAAACCCTGCTACATTATATACACCAAACCACTCCACTAGATGGCAGTGGTGTGTTTTTAAAAAAATATTTTTTTTTGGTGATCTACAGAATGACACTGAACCCCACACCTGCCTTGTCGGGGATGTGCTGACAAGGCAGGTGTTGACTGTTCCACAATGGAAACAGTCTACGCTGGATTTTCATGGTACTCCAAAGAGCCCTGCCACTTGAAAAAGACTAGAATCCCACAAAAATGGGACACATTAAATTCTCTAATAAAAATCATACAGCGGATGCTCCAAAATTCCCACCATCCTGAATTCATTGTATCACTCAGCAGTGATGATCCAAACCATATGAGGGGCTCAGTGGATCTGCAGAAACCCAGCAAGGAGGCAGGCCACCCACAGCCATTACTTGCTGCGCTCTTTTCGTCTTTCCTCCCCTCCTAGGTCACGCAGCATTCCTTCGTTGCCCTGGGGATCTCCGTTGAAGAAGCCAACATCATTCACGAAGACTCAGATACTCCAGCATATGCTACCTCCATTTCCCCCTCAACCATCAAAAGGGAACATTAAAAATAAAGCTGTGACAGACAGATGGGCAGACTCGCATAACTTTGTCATTACCTCTCAGTGTCAGGGGGTGAATGAGTGCAGGAAAGGAGGGAAAGCAGAGCAGATGTCCTGATCTGACACAGTATTAATATAGATTAGGCTCTACTCGCTCCTAGTGTGCCATTTCTAAAGACTGGGTGGTGTTACAAGAACATTGTTGTCCCTGCGCTCGACAGATATTGTATATATGTCCACATTTTAAAAAAAAATTTTATTGAATGTTTTCAGTCTCGCTGCTTGTGGCTGTCTGTGTTTGATCGTAGATTAGCAATGAAAGGACAGACATGTATGTCATAGTTTTGTTTACTGAACTTGATATATTGCCCAAGGGCAGACCACCTTCACTCCCACTCTTTCCTTCGTCTCTCGGTATTATTCTAACCACAGCTGTACAGCGAAACATAAGCATTCATTGATAAACCCAGACAGTCAACAAAATAAGGAATGACAGTGCTGGCGAGGCAAATTGCTTCATGTATTCGGATTTGCTAGATACATATAATTATAGGCACTGGATAATAATTTGCAGCTTTATTGCCTTCTGCTGGATTTACACTACAGAAAGAACAGTTTAGGGTCACTTCAAAAGAACAATAAGATAAGAAATAAGTGTGTAATTTCAATGGGCCATGTCCCAAAACCACACAGAGCAGCCGAAGTATCTCCAAGCTGTGCCCCATTAAAGGCTAAATGAAATTATACAAAGTAAAACATACTGGACCCCAACGGGCAACAAAAAAGTCACATTAAAAGGTTCATCTTTTAATTAATAGTATATAAGGAAACACTGCTGTCTTTAGAAAAACTTAATGTTTTATAATGAAAAGGCTATTAAAAAACAAGCCCTTTTCATGATTTTTATTATTTAGTGTGGTGTAAAAAGGTTTTGTGAGGTCATATAAGTGCCCTCCGTCTAGTGCTGCAGGGCATGGATCATTTCCCGACTCTGGAAATTGAGTCAGAGTCAAACTGTGTCCTGCCCTGGCTTATTACTGGCTGAGAGGATCGCCCATCCCAGCAGCATAAATATTTATACAGAGGGGGAACGACATCACTTATTCACAACACATTCATTCACTTAAGGCAGAGCTACTTGCAAAGTTAACTCAGAGTGATCAGCTCGATTTGCCAAAGGACCCATCACCTTTTCTTCTAGGTGTTTGCTGAGACAACCTTTCGAGAAGAAGTTTTTAAACTAACTCAGAATACACGATGAACGTTTTGATTTCAGTTTTGGGGGTGATTCTCGCTTTCTGTCAGATTGGGAGGAATCCTGTTAGTGGTGAGTAGATGTTTTCCATTTTTTCCATATTTTGAACAAAATGTCCTATGCTTTAAAAATCATGGCAGAAATGTTGGTAAAATGATCGCTGTGAAAGAAGGATTTTGACAAAACCCCAATCCAATTTTCTCCTGTTTTGCATGTACATTTTTGTAAATTCGAAATAAGCTATTTACTACTGATATGTGTTAAAAACTCCTGACATATGTAATATATAGTGTTCTAGATGGTATAATATTTTTAAAAAGACAAAGATTTGTGACAAGATTTATGAAGTGTGATTTACAATCGTTCATAATAACACGATACACTTCCCAAGTGTTCCTGTAACAAAGATAAATATTCCTATAATTAACATCTGTTACGGCACCATCTCCAGCTGGGATGTGCTGGCTGCAGCAGAGTCAAGATCAAAGGTGCGACATGGTGCTGATGAGAGGGGTGACCAGGGAGGAGTGCTGTGCCGGGGGACGCCTGGACACAGCGTGGTCCAACACCAGCCTGCCCATGAATGAAGTCAGCCTGCTGGGCTTCCTGGGTATTGTCTCCTGTAAACCGTGCAAAGGTAAACAAACCATTAAGAAAGTAATGAGTTGCATCTGCCAAGTATAAGAAGCAAGTTGCATGTACTGCTCTTAGTCACTGCCATTAACTGTAAAAAGATGCTGCCTAATTCTTAACAGTCATATTCTTTCGCATATTTACTGCGCTTGGTCTGCTACTGTAGTTAGTTTAAGGTGAGTACATGGAATAACAGCTGATACCCCAGATATAATTTGCGCACTTAAAAACAAAGCTTAAATATCATTGGGTTTTGATTAATACACTGGGGATTCCATTGCATAATGTAGCAATTGTGTCTCTTGGAGAGAGTTTGCGAAGGTCCATTTGAGTCATTTGTGAGATATTTACACAATGAGTTCCCAGTGCAGCTTTCTAACAAATTGCAGACGAGGATCAAGGAGAGGCATTATACAAAACTCCAGCTGTCCTGAGAAGCTTCCTGCCATGGAATTTCTGCAAGGTTCATTCAGGTTCACTTGCAGATAAATTCTGTTTTCATAAGCAGAACTTGTACGTGAACAATGTTTTTTTCTTTTCTTTCCACGTTTAATAAGTTCCACTAAAAAAGACAAGACTAGCTACTGGCATTTTTGGATACACTCAGTCCTTGGTGTGTCACATGGCTCATCATGGAGAAGTTGAGATGTGAATTCTGTTTAGATACATTTTAAATAAGCAGAAAGAATACAATTAAAGCTTTGTTAAAATGCCTCTTGCATAAAAATAAACCGCTGTAACTCGTGGGAAATTAATGAGGCTGGTGGAAACCAAAGCTAGTTAAAAAGGAGTCCTGTTTTCTTTCACAAACAGGAAAATGTTTTCCTGCATTCTGAAATTTGCCCAGACACCTGGGAATCATAATGTTTTGATAGTTTGGATTTCTGTAGGAGGAAAACATCAATATTTTCAACCGTGTTGTGTCGTGCCAAATAAATTACAACCAATAGCTAGCAACTCTGGACATTAGTGGCATATGCAGAGGACATGAAGAGAAGGTGTACAGACAGCAAGACAGAAAGGGAGAGATTGAAATCGACCATAGAAACAGACCAGGGGAGTCGAGCAATGAAAACACAGCTTTGAAATAAAACAGGATATTAAAGTACTGTTGGAGACAGGAAATAAGTTCCCGATTGTTTACAGAATCCTCGGGACTCGGAGCTCATCAGGAATCATCTCCACAGACTCAGAAACCCGGGTAGAGACCTGTATGCACTGTCTCGTGTTGATTTTGCGCTAGGATTACAGATCGTCCTGTGCTTTGACATTATGAGCTGTCGGAATAGCCTGTAGCTTCCTCGTTTCTCAGCCTGTAAACTTTCCTGACAGCTTTTTGAACTCCTTCCTCACAGCCTCCGCACAGTCTGTGCGCAGCCATACACAGATCTGTTATGAAAACACGCCAGCCTCACATTCCATCGGGCGAGACACCTCTGTGTGTAACGGTCAATAAAGAGATGTGATTATTATAAATATTGTGCAAGGTGGGAATTGTGTTGCGATCTGGGAAAAAACCCAGGTTTCCAGCTTGTTTTGTATGAAAACGCAGGTGAATCACCCGATGTCTGCAGACTTGTTAATACGGTAACATTACGCTGTGCTTTTGTAGAGACATGCGAGGGAGTCAGATGTGGTCCCGGGAAGGTTTGCAAGATGAAGACAGGAAGGCCTCAGTGTGTTTGCTCTCCAGACTGCTCTCACATTACCCGGAGGCATCCTGTGTGCGGCAGCGATGGGAAGACATATAAGGATGAGTGTTCTCTGCTTATGGCGCGCTGTATGGGACACCCAGACCTTGAGGTCATGTACCACGGAGAGTGCACAAGTAAGTTCGTCCTTCCCTGGAAGCTAAGCTGTTTTGTTCTTAAGCATTTTCCAATTCTGTTGCCCTAATGCCTTCTTTTATTTCTCTTTATTTCCCCAGAGTCGTGCTCCAGTGTTGTGTGTCCAGGAACTCACACCTGTGTGACCGACCAGACCAACAGCGCTCACTGCGTCATGTGCCGCACTGCACCTTGCCCAATACCCATGCCGTCCGAGCACCGCATCTGTGGCAATGACAACGTCACTTACCCAAGCGCCTGCCACCTCCGCCGCGCTACCTGCTTCCTCGGCCGCTCCATAGGAGTCCGCCACTATGGCCACTGCAACAGTAAGATTGCTCAAACACCTGCCAGCTTCTACTTTTTACCCGTCTTTACATTGCTGTGACATTGTTTGCTACAATAAAGTCATTTACGGCTCTTTTTTTTTGTTTGTTGCAGGTCCACCTCGGAAATTTCACATCTTGGACGGCAGTGAGGAAAACGCAGTCTAGATGGTCGATTCCTGACGCAGCCCCTTTTTGCAGGATATGACCCGATCAAAAAACATTTTTGCTCCACTAGCTTCCCATAAGGAACTTTTTTTTTTGACAATCACTCCCCCCTCCCCCCCTTTCTACATATTAATGGTAGATGTGATATGAGACACCTCTGTTGGAAGAGAGGTGTTTAATAACACACACATGCCTCTAAAAAGCAATTTTTGTTAACTATGTTTCAGTTTGGAAAGTGGAGGCAGATGAATGCGTTTGTCATGAGACAGATATATCTCATGAGCTCTTTGGGAGATGTGTGCATATTGTAAATAGAATACCAGTACTATTTATTGGAGAAGGTATTAAAACTCTATTTATGTTTTTTAGCCTGGTAAAACAAAAATAGTATACCCTATGAAAGCTCTTTGTGGCAGGGCGTGGCCTGCGATGCTGTGTTGGTGTTGTTCCCAGATCATCATACTAAAGGTTGTTCCAGGATCAACATTGCAAGTGACCAATCAGAATGTTGTGATGTCATACTTTTGCGACTTCGGGAAAAACCGGCGTAAAACAAAAAACTGTACTTAAGCTGCGAGAATCCGCCTTTGTCCGCCGATCAACGGACCCTAACCCTGACCCTAACCCTGACCCTAACCCTAACCCTTTAATAAACGCTAAGCAGAATTGATATTGTCCTTGCAACATTGGAATTTCATAAATGCACGAATGGGTTGGTGCGCAAAAGAATAACGTCACAATAATGTGATTGGTCACTTGCAATGTTGAACCTGGAACAACATTTTCACGATGATCTGGGAACAACACCAACACGACGATATCAGATCATCCGTGGAGGCACCTGCATGGCATCGCAGGCCACGCCCTGCCACACTCGTGCAAAAAAAATGTATTTATTGTTTGTTTGTTTTTTTAATGTACATATATATATATGAAGTCACTGGGTTTGGCATTTTACAAATATGTTACCGTTTTAAAGGCTCCATTCCCCACAAACAAACATTTTCCCTCAAGTTAATGGAAAGCAAAGCTAATTTTTTCGAAAGCTGATGCTATTTTGTAGTCTGTTGATGTGGTTTCAATTCACCACAAACAACAACGTGGCGACTACAGTTCAGCTGCATATACTTCATTTAGGGTGGTGAGGACGGGGTTCAGTCTAAACAAATCTGTATAGTCTCTATTCCCCCCTACACATGTTTACTCTGAATCCCAGGCCAAACTCTTGGCCACCCGCTGATCACCGAAATTAACAGTTTTGTTGTGTTTCTGGGAGTCTCAGAAGGCTGTTGGTACAACCCAGAGCCCTCTACAATACCTCCTCTGTTGAATGCTTTTTTGTTTTGTTTTGTAAAATATTTTTTGTACGTCATGCAAATTAGTTCTGATGCTGTTTTGCTGCTTTGATTTGTTTTGATTTTTTTTTTTTTTGTTTAAATAACTTACAGGACAGACACGTGTAATTAGAACCGCATGACTTAAAGGAAAATTAAATTTGTCTGGGAATGAAGTTTGGACCAATTGAAAATACCTGATTATATTGCCATTGGAGTCAATCTGCCAAAATACTGCACACATCTACACAAGTAAAAGTAGTCAAGTGATCCAATTCAACATATTAAACTCAAAGCAGATGCCTGGATACTCTCAACAGCCTTAATAGTGTACTTTGAAACATGTTAACGTTCCTTCTGTAAATAACAATCTCAAGTGTACCACCTACCCGTGTACCTACTGTGAACTTTGAATGACAAATGCATTAACATATTTTTGTACTGCCGTTGTAAAACAACTTAAAGTTTCATGTGTCGCAGTGCGTCTTCTTTCTTTAGAAATCAAAATAATTGTTCTTTTCCCAGCTGCCTTGTTATACCTTGTTATTGCCTCAATTGTAATTTAATAACAATACTTTACGCATGTGAAACAGCATCTGACGTGTATTTGATGATATATAAATTTTTCTTAACTGTGTCACAGTCTTAATCACTTCAGCCAAATGAGATCATACTTGCACCCTTAGCCAGAACTCATCAGCTGGGGTTTAGGGTGGTGGATCAGGCTCCAGCAGCCAGACAGAGGCTGTCAGTTTATGTGTGCTGTGGTTAGACCTCGTCTTCTGTGCGTGCAGTGGGTGAGTCGCCTTTCTGACATCCCTCGCAAGGCCACAGGCGAGAGGAAAGAGAGAATGAAATCCAGCCTGTCCAGCTTTCCTCCCGTCTCCTCGGGGATATCCCCCGTTCTAGAAAAGGCGGGACGGGTCAGGGGGATGAAGGGTAAAGGAGCTAAGGATTGAATGTTTCGAAGCGCCGAGGCCTTGATACTGACTCACTTTCCTGTATAAAGTACCTCCCTTGTTTTTCTGTTTCTAGCCTTCCTCTTCTGAATCCTGCACTCCGCCATGCAGCAGCATCTGGTTCAACTTTAGGCAGATGTTTATATTCCTGTCCAAGTACCCTTTTATTACACTGGGAATGGAATTAGATGTTTTGTTAGTCCGAACAGGGCAAATAATAATCCCACAGCAAAGCTGTTGTTGTGCCCACTCGTAAAATGTGTTGCTTTTTCAGAAATGTTCATTTTAACATCCTTAGTATACTGTGTATAAAAAGACCCAAACTAATTCAAATAATTTGACTCTGGCATTCTTGCATACACATATTGGTCAGC